AATCTCCCTTATATATAGGATCTTCTGAAATTCTACAATACAAATTTTCAAACAAATATCATAACTACCAGGAGCTCAACCCTTTCTAGCTAGCAGATAGAATATATATCAAAATATGGACCCTAACTATAGTATATGTGGAATACCTAGAATTTAATTTACAAAATACAATTTCATAATTCAAATTTTATGTTAAAAGGTAGCTTAATCTATCGTATTCTCTATTTCCTACCCAGCGACAAACTTTTCAATGATTCATAGGAGGTTCAGTATTAACTAATGAATTAGATATCAAAATATTTTTCAGTGAATAAAATTTTAAAATAAAATTTTAAAGAGTAAAAAGAGTAAAACATTAAACTCAAACAATTATGTAAAATAATTAAAAGAGGATAATTCAATATAATAAATTCATTAAATAAAAAAATCTTAATCATAATCATAAAATGATAGTGACCTGGAATTTCTTTATTCTATTATGCTGAAGGATAGCAAATCATTTATATATGAATAAATGTAGCATGCTTACTAGTTGAAACCATTGAAATTTCAAATAATTGATTAAAATTCAAAATTTTGAGGACTTGTTAGAACAAGTGACAAACATGAACACATAATCTATGAAAGCAAATAATCAAGCATGACTTGTGCCATGAAGACAACAATGGATATACAGCCCACGAGGATAAATAACTAAACATAACCTAAGCCACAAAAAAGAAACATGGAGACACAATTCAAGAGAATAATTCTAACCAAACACAGCTTAAAGCCATGAAAACAAATGTAGGAACAAGACCCACAAATAACGAACGTGAGGACAAAGCTCACGAAAGTTCAACTAGCTAATCATCAACAATAGTATTACTAGCTAACGAAATTGCTATTAGCAACCAGTGTTATGCATATAATCATATAAAAATATCACATTTTAAATCTACAAGAAAAATAATTATTACTAAAATAAATTGTCATTTTTAATGCCAAACTCCTATGAATTACTGTAAACATCAATTTAATGCCAATATAAATTTTATAAATAATGTGTATTATTGCATTTATTGGATAACCAAAATTTTTCAAAGATAATCAAAGATGATATCATAAATCTTGAAAATATAACTTATGGGGAAAAATACATATACATGCCATAACATAATTATTCTTGCCACAATTCTATATTGTCACAAGATAAAATAATTAAATTAACAACATACCCAATATTTATCATAATAATTAAAATAATCTATATAAAAATGAAATATTTCAGTAAAACACTATTGTTATTAAATTAATTGAGATGTTATTTACTTGTCGGATTCCCAACTTCCGAAAACTTTCTTTATTCAATTCTTAGCAAGGTCCTTCCACACACCCTATAAGGATACGAGTAAATGAAATTTTAATAAATTTTTCTATAAATTATAAAGACTTATTTCCACTCCTAACACAATCTCAATCAATTATCATCATTTAAAATTTCAAGACCAAAATTCATGCTTTAGAATTTGTCTAAGTATTATCATATATATCACTAATTTTCCACGTGTTATATTGCTTTAGTCATGCTAACCTATTTACTACCTATTTACTTGAGATATAATTTTCTCTTAAGCTTTGTATCAAACACCTTAGGTACATTATTTCCAACCATTCAATTTAAATTTTCTAACCTCCCATCTCTTATCCAACAATTTATTAATAGCCGTACAATTTATAAGAATTCAAATAGTTACATTCATATTACATAATCAAATTTTTTTACAACCTTCAAGTTAAATTCATAGATTAATAACACCCAAATTAAACATGCTCCTCTCAAAAATTAATGAAATTTTAGAAAAATACAAAATCAAGCAAGCCTCTTCTAACAAACATTTTGTCAAACACCTTTTGTGCATTAATTCTTAAGCTCATGGCCAAACTCCTCCTTCATCTATTCCAACTCCAAGAATTTTACAATAAAGATATTTAGATCATTCAGCTTCCCAGATATGTATTCTTTAATAGTAAAATTCAATCTCAAACACTAAGAAATCTCAATTCCTATTTTTACATTTCATGCGATTGAATGAAAAGAAAAAGGAAATTCCAAAACTTAAACTAACAGCACACATATACAGAAACTAAGAGAAAGGATTGAAGTTTTCAACTTAAAATCACCATTGACGGGAATGAGAAGAAGAGAAGTTCACAATGGTGAACAGGGGAGGAAGGAGTTGCTTGCTTGACGGGACTCCTACAGCAGCAGACCATAATGACACAACGTAGGGGAGGAGGAGATTCCGACGCACACTTGCAGCTGCTTGAATGGAGGAGGAGAAAGGAAGATCGGAGAAGATGCAAGGCTGTCTCACTCAGTCTCTAAGGGAATTAATAAAAAATGGAGAAAAGGAAGAGGAACAATTTCAAGTCACGATTGTCAGCGTCAAATGCAATGGTGGAGGAAGGTGAAAATTTGAACCTACCTTACTCAAATTGGCGCACCATAGGAGGGGAGGGAGAGAGAGAGAGTTGAGGTTCAATGCACCCATACCAATATAAAGTGCAAAACAGAGGAAAATGACAGGTTTTGGTGATTCAAAATAGTGCTCACTTGAAGGTGAACCATGGTGAAGCAAGCGAACACAAGTACCAGCGACAAGAAGGAAGAATAACAGCCAGAAATCCCAATGCTCATAACACCTTCAAGCACAAAGTGTTCCTAAGCATTTCCCCTTCTTCCTTTTAATACGACTATTAGGGCTACACAAAGGATTGACTCGATAGGACTTCATCCCAACTTGAAGTTTGATTCTTTTCATAAAAAGGATTAAGTTAGGCAAATCGTAATCTAGTTTAGTCCTGGTATAGCTTAAAGTTAAAAAACACTAGACCGATCTAACACAATTAATAAGAGACCGGTCCCAATCTTGTCCAGTGTCTCATTTTGTTTTTTTTCATCTATGAGAGTAGCAATTTATTTTAACATAATAAGCTCACCTAACATAATAAAATTATTTATAGTCATAAAAAATTTATCACAACAACAACAATTATAAATCCACAACAATCTCCAACAACAATAAAAAATAATTCAGTTATAACATAAAGGATTCAAATTAAACAATCTTTAATATGTCTAAAGTCCATTATACCAAATTAACAGCAAATTTCACCAATAAAAGGAGAAGATTGAGTTTGGTTAATGTTAAAATTTTACTCAATATTCATGACTTCACAAGTATAAAACATAAAAAATTACTAATTATTATTATAAATTAACTCATTGTAATAATAATTAATAAATTAATTATAATTATATTAAATAAATTTATAAGACTGGACCAAGTGGTTCAGATACTTGGTCTCTTGTCCAGTTCAATCCGAAAAAAGAGTCTGGTCTTTTTGGTTCTTTTAGTCTTGTAAGACCAGTTTCTATTGGAATGGGATCAGACCAAATTTATTTTGAGTTGGACTAGATCAAATAAGACCAAAAGACTTTTGCACAACTTTGGACCATTGGCCAAAATGCAAAATATATGAGGGGAAATTTAAGTGACCAAAAAACCAAGCTTAAACAAACTGAAAGATTGACATTTTGGTAAATTAATAATTATTGCATAATGTGGAAATCCCCCTTGCACCTTCACCATGATTGGTACAATCTTGAAACTAATAACCGACATAAATTCCACTTGGCCTCAAATCTTCATTGTTGCATCATTAGTAAACTGTATATTTAATATGATAAAAGACTCAATTACCTTACTCTTATTACACACACACACACACACACATATTACTTTATTATTATAATTATTTAATTTAAATTTTTGGGTCATTACATTTACTCTCTCTCAGTTGAATCGGGAAGCATAAACACTAAAGGGAAAGAAATGGAGAGGGTGAAAAAAGAATATCTGAAATGGTTTTGGTTTTTTTTTTTAAATGGCGTAACAGTAATTTCAAAAGATTGAAATAAGAATAAAAATGCTTCTTTGAGCAACAGGAAGACTGTTGGCCAAAAAAATAACAAAATAGAAAGACTGGAACCCTAGGAGCTTATGATAATCGACAGGCGAAGCTCCTCTGGACTATTAATATGAGATTAAAGTATGTTATTAGTTCTTCAACTTTACATAATATTTTATTTCGATCCCTTAATTTTATAAAATATATTTTCAATCCTTTAATCCTAGCACTATTAGCTTTATCAAAACATATATTTACATTGACATTTTAAATATTAATAAAATATTTTCAAATGTTAACCTTAAGTTTAATTTTTTAAAAATAATAATGACTGATATAAAAATAATTATTTGAAATTAACAATGTTAAAAAATACTTTATAAAATTAAATGATTAAATTAAAATTTTATATAAAATTAGAAGACTAAAAATATAGAACCTTAATATAATGATGTAAGTCTATCCCAATACTAATAAAAATACACTTAAATATCTTATCACTTTATAAAAATTTTGCATTATTACAATTGAATTGTTACTTTTGATCATACTTGTAGACAAGCTAATAAGTGTGCTCATTCTCACAATAATTTTAATTTAGGGTATGAAAATTAATTTGTTAAGTTCTACCATGACTTTGTTTCCTTGTACGGTTTTTTTGCCATGACTTTCAATAGAGAAAAAAAGAAAAAGTTGCTTCTTTCCTCATCATCTGAAGTTAACACAATGATTCTAGCAAAACTTGACACATTTGACCATATTCAAATGAGTTTCCTACTATTTGCAAGGTATTCCACTACATTTTATTGGTTTAATAATTATTTCTAATCTTATTGGAGCCCACATTATCATTTTATCAATATTTTACTGAGTGAGAGAGACTATAATGAACCCTTCCCAAATGAGCAGCCATTTACTTAGTCAAAGTTTATTAAAAATTCAATATTTATTTCAAAGTCATTCTATGTATAAATGGCCGCCAAATTTAAGGATGATTACGTTTGTCTTAAAAAATACAAGGGAGAATCTCAATTAAGGCTCTCAAAACACACACAATTACACTTTGGGTCTAATAAAATATAAAAATACATTGCAGGCACGAGGTTTTTTCTTGCAATTTTTGTTGTTAGCAAAAATATAATTTTGCCCCTCCCAAAACAAATCAATCTTTCACGATCTGATCCTCTTCCTCTCTCTTCACACCCAAGCTTTGAGTTGAAATTGATCCCTGATCCTCCCATCATTGTACACCAGCTGAGCAAGAGTGGTTTTTCCTAATCCACCCATACCCACTACAGAAATTACAGATAGTGGGTCCCTGCTAAGATTTTCATCGAGTAAAAGACGAAATATTTCTTCTTTATCACCATCTCTGCCATATATACGTGACTCATCAGCAGCCAGAGACATAGTTGGCAACCTAGAAGATACTTTCCCACCAACTCCAACTTCACTACCACCGCCAGATAGTTCCTTCAATCCCAAAGCACCTTTTGTTTTGCAAGGAACTCCAGGTTGTCAAGCACTTCTTGGATTCTAGCTTCCATGTGTTTGTCAAATGGATTGTCAGAAGCAGTTAAGTAGCTTCGTACCTTATTGGGAGCAAGTTGATTCTCAGCTTCGATCTTCAACTTGGTCGCCTCAGTAGCAATCTCATCTAAGAGGTCATTAGCCATATAAATAGCATGTTTGAGCTCCTGAAGCCACTTCTTCACATTAGAGTTTGTGTGCTGCTTTACTTCTACATCATCAAGCACTTGATTCACAGAGATGAGAGTGAGGTGGAGCTTTTCAAGCAAGCCATCTTTGAGGTTTTTTGATTGGAAGTAGTGAATAGAAGAAGCCAACTTTTCGAAAGCGATGTGAGTAGCAGAGAGAAATGCTCCACCCACAAGCTCAGCAGCCATGGTTTCTGGTATGCGCATCGTATTATGATTCTCAGTACATTTATTAAGAAATTGATTTTGGTGTCTTTATCAAGTAAATACTAAATATATTGGAGGTGTAATAAATTTATCTATATATTGGAATTATATAACCATTTATATACTACTTTCTCCGTTCAAAAATGTAAGGCATTTTTTGATGAGTTGGATGTTCAAAAATGTAAGGCATTTGTAGTCTTTCGAGGTGTAATCATTACCTTTTTTTCAAAAGTACTCCTATTGATAATGACTTTATATTTATTGTAGAGTGTTTGATAAGGGTAAGTATGAAAAGATAGTGTCAGTTTAAAAGTAGGTAACTATTTTATTGGGGGTGAGATTTTGTTAAAAATGCCTTACATTTTTAAACGGAAGAGTACTATATTATAAAATGAAATTTACATATATTCGTTTTGTAATTATACAAAATATTTTTAAAATTTGTTTACAATTATAATATGGACATAAAAATATACTTGTTAAAAAATGCTAATGAACATATATTATTACTTCCTTTTTTGAAAATTAATTTTTGGGAATGTATTTCTAAAAATACAATAGTATAAACTAACCCGATCAAAAACCAATCAAAATCAGCCAAACCCAGTGAAAAACTAGTGGAAAACTGGTAAGAACCGGTTTCCTTATTTTTTTAAAAAAATCTCAATAACCCAGAATTATATTATTTTGTATTTTTATTTGTCTTGTAGTTGGCTTTTTCTTTAGTGATATACTTATATTTGATAATTTATTTATGATTTTAGTTAATAATAAAAGCTTATGCTGGTTGGATTAGACAATTATTGTGGCATACTTGATGATTTTGATTATTTGCAATTGATAATAAATAGTTGTATTGTATTGTTTGTGCAATTGACAATAAATCAAGTAAGTAACATACGTCTACTCATTCAATGAACATCTCAATTGGCATAATAACAATGAATCAATTGGCTTTAGATATTCTGTTATATGATAATTAGGAAGTATCAAAACTCAAATTTTTAAAGGGGATAACATTGAGGAGTATTTTGATCATGAGAATTATTCTAAATTTTTAAAATAAAATATACCTTGATAATTTTTAAGTATTTATAAAATGTAAATGGTTACAATTGAGACATTTATTGAATAAGTGGACTTATATCACTCATCAAATACTCCTCCTGTCACAAATTATAAGACAATTTTGGATGAATTTCATTGTCATTTTCTCAAACATAAGATAATTTGAGAAAAATAAAATTTCATTAATGATACTTTTCTAATATTACCTTTTAAGTAGAGAAACAATTAAAATGATATTATAGCATAATGATTGTAAGGGCATTTTTTAAAATTTATAGTTTTGTTTTGAAAAAAATAAGTTTACAAAGTATCATTATTGGGGTTTATTAATATGTGTAATCTTATTTTAAATTATTTTATATTTTAGGAAAGAGGGAGTACTAATCTTAGGTCCTATTCCTAAAGAAAAGATAAGCCAAATGAAGATGAAAGGGAAGGAATACTCATGGATGAAGGAAGAAGATACTTGAGGACTCACATTCTTCCTTCGACGACTCCCATTGCAGCAGAGTGTGCTCTTCGATGTAACCACTCATCCCATCTTTCCTTCCTATCAAGCAAAAGGAGAGATTTTGAAACTTGAGATTGAAAAATGATAGGCTTGGAGCCACCGGACTTGACACGAAAGAAACAGAAATAATGTGTTGATGGAGCTAATTATATATGAGAACAAGAACGAACTCGACTTCCCACTATTACATCTTTGCCTGAATTGCAATTGCTACAGATTTGGAAGATAGAAGCAATTTTGTGATTGAGATTAGGTCTAAACATAACTTTCTAATGGGGATAAATATCTTCCGAAGAGCCATATGAAAGAAATAGCAAATTGAAAGAGCTTTTGAGCAATGAGAATAGTGAAAAGGAGACTGACAAGAAAACTAAAAAGTGAAAAGCTGATAAGACTAGAGCATAAAATCCTATATTTTGAAATTTAATACTCCATCCGTTAAAAAATGTAAGGCATTTTTAATCTTTTGATGTGTAATCATTACCTTTTTTTAAAAGTACCTCTATTGATTCATGACTTTATATTTATTGTAGGGTGTTTAATAAAGGTAAACATGAAAAGATATAATTAGTTTGAAAGTAGGTAACTACTTTATTGAGGAGTGAAATTCGGTTAAAAATGCCTCACATTTTTTAAAGGAGGGAGTTTTTTTTTTATCTGGCACTACACTCTTCATTTAGCCATGCTTTTGCACTTCTCCCATGAGAAGAAGATGACAATAAAGGGCTTGTTTCTTCAATGGCTATGGCCTGTCTCTTTCACCTGACTCTCATGTATGAAGATAGAGGGAGAGAGAAGCAATAACAGAGCATTCAGAGCACTTGTATGGAATTAGCTGAGGTCATGGAGAAAGAGGGTGTACGCACGGATTGTAATGCCTACTGTTTAGTGGTGCTAACTTCATTGTATTTAAAAAAAAAAAAAAGAGGACTTGGGCAAGAAGGAAAAAAAAAAAAGGCAGTAAAGAAAGAAATCAAGAGGGAGAGGAAGAATGAGATTTTGAATTTGAAGAAATAGATGCATTTAGATCTTCATTCTTCTTTGACTTGTTTCTTGTTTATTATGCCCTGTAGATTTTTATTGTGTCATTCGAACCTCATCATTCATTTGAAATATAGAATCTTATTTTAAAATAAAATATATTAAAGATAATTATTTATTATTTAATGGCAACATTTGTCATTCATTTGAAACATAGAAAGGAAAGTTAAGAAATAAGATCCACCTAATCTTAAAGATTTTATAAGATCATAAAAGTAAAAGAGCAATATTCTCTTTTAAATTTTCTAAATGGTGTAATCTGATTCCTACAATTAACAAAAGGTAATTTTCACTGTTATAGAAAATGATATAAAAATTATAATAAAGGATCTCAAAATTACAAACAAGACAAAAAAAATTACAAAAAGTGAGCTAGAAAATTTTATTAGTTCCTCATATAGAAATCACAGATGGTGGGTTCCTACTCATATCCCTGTCAAGTAAAAGCTTAATTATTTTTTCTTTATCGCTAGCTCTACCACATATTTTATAGATTTAGTAAAAACAAGAGATATAGTTGGCAAATTAGTGTAATATACAACAATGACAAGTTTTATTTCACTAGATGGAATAATTGGTGGAATATACATTTTGATAAAATCCAACACTACCACCACCACCAAAACCTTCATTCAATCCCATAACATCCTTTCGGTTTTCAAGTTCAGCAACCATGGTATCTGATTAAACAAATAAAGCAAAGGAGACTTTTACACACACATATCAATTGGGTCATTTACAAAGTAATTATTTTCAAAGTTAAAGTTTATTTTTCTCCTATACTTTCCTTGAAGAAACACTGGACATTCTATACTAATAAGTGGGTCATTTTTTCACCTAAATCATTTTTAGAGGAGTAAAAATCCCTCTCCATTAGTGAACCGTTAATGGAAGGAGATTTTTGCTCCTCTAAAAAATAATTTAAAGAAAAAAAATATCTCACTTATTAGTTCAGAGTATCCAACACTCTTCAAAACACTCTTTAAAACAAAGTACAAGGGGAAAATGTAGTTTAACCCTTATTTTTAAAAAATCCAATAGTATAATATTAATAAAAATTTAAATAATGTCCAACGTAGATTATCTATTTTTTAAAAGCATGTTTGTGAATGATTTCTTTTTAAAATCCAAATTCATATCATTTCCCAATCTTATTTCTAGTTGTTGTACTTTTTTGCCACAAGTTGTAGTAATCAAGATATACGTCAATATGTATTAGAAAGAAAATCAATAGGAAGACAGACGAAAGAAGGGGGAAAAGTACCTTTGGAATGCATGTCATTTTTAAGCCCTTCCCAATCTTTAGTTGGTGGTTGTAGTTTTGGCCATAAGTTTCCATCATCAGCGAACATTCTAGGGTCCCTAAATCAGATATCATATAAGATATTTTGTTGCCTGTATACACGAACTGCAATTTGAGTTTCTTTTTCCCAGTTCATTTCTTGCGCATTGCTCTTATGGAAACCTGGACTTGATTCCATTTATTTACACGAGGGATTTCAACATTTCGAAGGATGCTTTGCAAATCACATATGTATATATGGTTAGTCTTTATTGTTGATAGTAGAAGCCACCCAGAAGAATTAACATCTAACTTGATGTCATTGATGTGTACTGAGAACATACACTTGTAGGGAGAATCTTCGACATTTTCAACAAGAAACCAAAGAAAAATTGTTGGGAACTCATCACGAATCCAAAATGGCATGGAACTTCCTCGACTATAATGGTCAAGGCACTCAGGGATTTTCTTTCCCGGCAAATAAAGTTTCTTTTCTGAGGTTCTAAGTAGAATGCCTGCAAATTACATATTACCAAAAATTACAAATAAAATATAAGTACCAAAATAAGAAATTTAAGAAAAGATTGGAGTGGGGGGAGATACCTTATTCAGCACTTCGCCTTTGGATAACTCTGACAATGATGTACAACTTATGGCACTTAATTGTTCCAAGTTTGGTGGCATTTGCACAATATCATAAAGTTCCTTGCATTATCTAGCAAAAGGTATCTTAAATGGTGAAAATTTTCTATGCATGGAGGAAGGGTTGTGAAATTATTAAACCTTAGATCTAAACGCACAACATTAGGCATGCAAGAGAGACAAAAAGCAAGAGACTGATTGGATAAATTGCAATTTGAGAAACAAAATTGCTTCAGTTTCAACGGCATTGATGAGAAGTCTAAGCTTCCTTTGTTTCCACATCTACCAATCTCAAAATGCCTCATCCTTTTACAAAAATTTGCTGTTAGTTCTGAAAGGTTTGGCAACATACAAATACTAGATGGTAATTCCTTAAGATTAGGACATGCGTTCATATTTAAGCTTTCAAGCCCAATGAGATTGTGAATTGAAAATGGCAATCTTGGGATGGAGGTTCCCTCCAAATCAAGTGTTCTTAACTTCTCCATCTTTTCTGATACATCCGGAAAACTTTGAAGACTTGAACAACCATAGAGATTTAGATGTTCAAAGGATCTCAACTTAATAGTAAGTGGAAATTTTTTCAAATTTTTGCATTGCATGGCACTCAATTCTTTAAGATTATCTAAGGATCCAACTGAATCATCGATTTCAATTAAACTTGTACAACCATCAAGCTGCAATTCTTTTAAATTAGAAGCTCCTGACAAGTTTGGTATCTGATTTAGGAATTTGCATTTGCTAAAATTCATGTGAATTAAACTCTCAAATTTCTGCAAAACAAAATTTTAAAAAATCAAACAAATGAAATAAAGTACATAGTTCTAAGAGTACTCACAAACATACCTTAATAAATGGTTGGAGGTTTGCAAACCAGCTATTGGACAAGTTGGGTTGGACAAAAATTGGAAGGCAAGAGCTCCAAAGGACACCGCTTCCATTTTGGGAGATATTTGGGGACTTCAGGAAAACTTGCACTTTTTATGGCAAGAAATTTGAGGTTCTTCATCCTTCTGAATTCCTCTCGACTCCATTGAATTTCTTTACCTTTAGGAGAATCAAGAATCATGACTTCAATTTCTTTGGATCCCGTTTAAAATGAAAAACACACAATAAATGCTGGAAATTAGATACAAAAGTCATATAAAGATAAGCATTAAATGAAGAGTGATGTACATTGTGCTCTTACTGTGTCATTTTGCAACACGTGAATAATGTCCTCATAAGACCATAACTTACTGCGATTACCAGGTTCTCTTGGTGATTGTCCACGAACAATTTTCTTACCCATATCTTCTATCAAGTCGTGCATTGTCACACGATCTTTTTTAATCTTTATTAGAGATCTATCAGTCAATACTTCAATAGCATAAGTTGGTTCGACACCACGGATAATCTTCAACACATTTTTGACATCTCCTAATTTCTCTCCATTAAAGAAACAAGCCATGTCAAGAAAAATTTCTTCATGTGTTTCTTCCAAAGCATCATAACTTAATTTAAGGACTTCAAAAACTTCTTTAATAGGTATTCTTTCATACTCATCTAATGCAAAACTCCATTTATCAACTATTTTATCACATAAGTTAGAGCCAATCACTTCCAACGCCAAGGGAAGGCCACATGAATAAATAATTGCACGGTTTAAAACATCTATGTAATCTGAATTCATAAGACCTTTTTGAAAGCATTCCATTTAATCAACTGAAGAGACTCCTTATAACTTAATTTCTTGACAGCATAAATTTTATGAACCCTATGACTTGCTAAGAGCTGTTTATTCCTTGTCGTAATGATGATTCTACTTCTAGAGCCAAACCAGTCACAGCTTCCAGCTAGTGCTTTTAACTGCTTCAATTTATCAACATCATTAAGGATTAAAAGAATCTTCTTTTGTCGAAGCCTATGTTCCATTATTGAAATTCCTTTATGGAAATCACCCAACTTGAGTTCCTTCTCCAATTCATAAAGTAATGTCTCTTGGAGATTGGACAAGTCATGCTTGTTAGAATTTTCTCTAACATTAGAAAGAAAACATAAACCATCAAAATGATCAGCAATTGAATTATACACAACTCTTGCAACTGTTGATTTACCAATCCCACCAGTGCCACAGATTCCAATTATGTTGACTTCATTGGACCAAAGATCTAAAAGTGAGACCACTTCTTGTATTCGAGACATGAGTCCAACTGGATAGTTGGTAACATGCAAATGAGTGCGATTAATCTTGTTAGATACTTCACAAGTAATCATTTCAATATATATAATGAAATAATGGAATGGGAAAGAGGATAAAATGACAAGTAAGATTCAGTAGCCACAGCTTCCCTTAGCTAAAATTACAAAGTTCTACCTTCCATTTTCAAAACTTACACTTTAATCCAAAAAAACTTAATTTCTTATTCATAATTATGTTGAAAACTTTAAAATTATTAATTTATAACCTAATTTTCTACCCTTTTTCCTGATTTAAAGAATTTAAATAAATATGTCAATATCTAAATTTGTTTACCAAAACAATATCTAAATAAACAATCTAATAATATTCTGTAAAAATTAATAAAATTTGTTAAAATAACAAACATAAATTATATTGACTATATTATATTTTAGGGTTAAATGAAAAATTTACATCTAAATTTTAGATCCAAAAGCGTCTAGGACCCTAGATTCATTTTTTGTGTAATATTTTCTTTCAACTTTTGAAAATAATGCAGTATTGCCCCCACTGATAACAAATATTAATTTTGATCATTAATTGAAGAAAAAATTATAGAAAATGACTTTAAAAATTTCCCAAAAAAAAAAGAAAAGACCTTAAGTATATTGATTTTGTATTATCATCATAATTTTTTATTTTTATTTATCTAATATTTAACATTTTAAGACATTAATTTTGTTATATTATTTTAATTTTATAATGAATATATAAAATAACATAATGAGTTTTCATTTAATATATTCTATGGTTAAATTGTAACTTTAAGATAAGGTAAGGTATTATCTAATGCTAATGGGCTAAAGTAAAGAATTAAGCTGAACCATATTATTTTACATGTGTGTAAGGTATTATTTAATGCTAATGAGCTAAAGTGAAGAATTAAGCTAAACCATATTATTTTACGTGTGTTTGTATTAAAAAATTTACAACTAAGGTTAAGATTCAACCGAGGTTAGCAAATTAAGGTCAGAAGAAAAATCAGTAAATGTAATATGATTTATGTTTGGATGTTTTTTTTTTTAGAAGTCAGTTAAATAAACTAAATTTATTTAGATAATTTTATTCAAAAACCAGTTGAGATGTTTAATGGCCAAAATAAGCATGAAATTTTTAATATATATTTTTGGACTAATTAATAACTAAAACAAATTAAATTTAAAATTATAACTAATAAGTGAAAAATCTTAAATATTCAAAATAGAAGAGAAAAGAGAGAAAGTATAAGTCATCGGATCAACATAGAAGTTAATAACACTGCTTGTTTATAATAATTAAATATGTAATACTTAAATTTATTCATTCATAGAATGATATTTCATCTAATCTAATTTTTCAATTCAAATTCTACACTTAACACCAATAACTTTAAAGCTTGATGCCAGTTTAGAAACATAAATAATTATAAACTAATGTATAATTATCAGTATTTTTACTATTTATTCTTAGATATTTTTATATTATAATTATAAATATGAATATTAAAATAAATAATATAACAACCTCAAGAAGTAAAAAAAATTAAAATAAATAATACAAATGATATTGTATCAATTATATTTATAGTTTATTTTAAACAAAATAAATAATATAATTTGCAGTTTTATAAATTAAAAGAATTAAATTGAAGTATTTGAGGATAGTAATGATATTTTATAATATTTAATATTTTAATATATGTGTGTGTTTGTATAGTTTAATAATGTGTGTGTGTGTGTTTGTGTGTGTGTATTTAATTATGCAATAATAGACTACAGGTTCATTCCAACTCAGTGGCAAAATGATTGGACACAAAAAGAGGAGGTCATGGGTTCAAACCTTGGAGGAGACAACTTTCAAAATGGAAATATAAATTGGTGACATGATGACACGTGGCGTGTGGTGGGAGCAACACGTGGAGGATGACATGGCGCCACGGTCATGGGTTCAAACCTTGGAGGAGACAACTTTCAAAATGGAAATATAAATTGGTGACATGATGACACGTGGCGTGTGGTGGGAGCAGCACGTGGAGGATGACATGGCGCCACGGTCATGGGTTCAAACCTTGGAGGAGACAACTTTCAAAATGGAAATATAAATTGGTGACATGATGACACGTGGCGTGTGGTGGGAGCAGCACGTGGAGGATGACATGGCGCCACGGTCATGGGTTCAAACCTTGGAGGAGACAACTTTCAAAATGGAAATATAAATTGGTGACATGATGATGCGTGGCGTGTGGTGGGAGCAACACGTGGCGGATGACATGGCGCCACGGTCATGGGTTCAAACCTTGGAGGAGACAACTTTCAAAATGGAAATATAAATTGGTGACATGATGACACATGGCGTGTGGTGGGAGCAACACGTGGAGGATGACATGGCGCCACGTGGACGGTGACATAGCGTCATGTGTGAAAGTGAACCAACATTACATTTTAGCGGCGATAAAAAAGTCACCGCTAATTGGTTGCTTCCATGGCAACAAATGTCGTCATTAATACTTAACATTCAGTGGCACAAACAATCGTAGTTGATGTGTGGTTTTTGCGGTGACAAAATATCACCATTGATTTTCAACTTTCAATGGCTACCATCTTTCGGCTGTGTCAAATTTTCTTTTCTGCGGTGACATTTGCCGCCGCCAATTCTCAACTTTCAACGGCAACTTTTATTGTTGCCACAAATTGAATCAACGACAAGAGCTCTTACGGCGATATTGTGGTGAGTTTTTGTCGCCGCTGAAAACTTTTAGCAGTGACTTTTTAGCTTTTAGTGGCGACAAATGTCGCCACTGAAAGTCAATTTTTTTGTAGTGACTTTTAACGAATATTAATTTTGATAATTAATTGAACAAAAAATTATAGAAAATGACCTTAAAAATTACCAAAAAAAAAGAAAAGACCTTAAGTATGTAAGTTTTTTTTCCAATAAGTAATACAAAAATTAATTTTAAAGTATAAACATATATTTTAAATTTTAGATTTAATTAATCTAAAGATATAAAATATCACAATTTTTCAGGGGTCAAAATTGTTGGGCTCAAAAGCCCTTGTATACGAAAACACCTCAATTTTCAAAGTCCTAGCCGAAAGGGAAGGACATAAACGGGGAACCCGGCTGATAGGTCAGGACCATACTCTTGACTTCAAAAACATATTCCTGATCCCTTATATGAGGCGCCTCCTAAAAATAAAAGTGAATTCAAATTATGAAGTGGCTAGTCAAAATATCAAGTCATGTTCTATTTTTACCCCAATGGTTTTAACAGCTTTCTCACAATTTTAGACAGGGCTACGAGGTTGTACAAGTACAAATGTTCTATATCCCTTTAATTAACAAGAATATAACAAGTTTTCTTGATCCATATGAGTGATTAGATGGAGTAAGTTTCACATTTTTTAAAGAAAAAGAAAGAACAGAAATTACAAGCAAATAATAGATGAGATACCGAGGTTGGAGATGCCAGCCAGTCAAGTCAGCCACTTGAGACAAAGCCTCCTTCCATTTCTGCAACTTGTCATCAATACTGTCTCCCAATCTTTCCTTCAAACGAGCCAAATCTTTTCCATAAGTCCCTTTCTGATGTCTCACCACAGATGGATCCACATGATAAAACACCGGATATACCAACCGACCTCCTTCTTTGAAGCACTCAACAATCTCTGCAAGGTCATCCAGACAGAATGTTGACGACGCGTATTTTTTGGAGAGAAATATGATGGCTATCCTCGATCCTTTGATGGCTTTCAGCAGAAATGGTCGGATTTCTTCACCTGCATGGAGGGCTTTGTTATCAAAGAAGGTACTAATTCTCTTTGACGCAGAGACTCATAGAGATGGCCTACGAAAGTGAGGCGAGTATCTTCACCGCGAAAACCAAGAAATACGTCATAAGTCCCTAAGTGACAGAGGAGGATCCTGATCCTTGAGCCATGATACAATGATGGCCTGCGTCGCTGATCTTACCAAGCTCAGAGCTTAGAAATGGCAGATGATTAGAGCTAAGCAACAAGATCTGTGAAGATTGCAAGATCGACTTGCATGTTTAAATTAATCCTCTGTAATTTTTTTCCCAATATTTCTGCTTTAAAAAAGAAAAAAAAAAGAAAAGAAAAGAAAGTGAAGGCAGCCCCACCAAGGAGGAATTTAAAATTTTCACGCGCACTTGGAAGACATGCTGTTATTGACTAAAAAGCAAGACTTTCAATTTTTGTCGGTTTTTCAGGAAATTAATGAATCGTGATGAGTTTTTTCTTTGTTTCAAAAGAGAAAACTTTTTGAGTTGGGCGTTGATGGTGGGGGACCACCAAAGTTGGGATATGTTTAGGGGCTCAAACATAATAAAATTCTTGCTGACAAATCGAGGTTAGAATTTTTATTGGGAAGAAGTATCCATATTTAATCTCTAAATATACTTTCATTGTCTCCAATTAAAGGATATTTCTAAAAAAAATAAAACGTTTATATATTTAAAATCTTTTTATTTGATAGTGTACAAAATACTAAAGGTAAAAAAAAAAGTGAGCTAAAATTCGAAAGCCAAACCAAAAAATTTGAAATAATAAATTTTTTGTATCCCTCAATTAATGAGAGATGAGAATAATAAAGAGAATGATAATGAAAAAGTAAAGAAAAGGAGAGGCTTGGAATAGAGTGTGTGTAGTGTCCTAGCTGGTAGCCCATTGATTCATAATCATTTTTTTATTTTTTTGAGCAAACATTGATTCATAATCATGTTAGGTCATTATTAATGCTAACAAGAGTCCCCACACGCTGTTGAAAATAATGCCGTACGTGTCTGGAACACATCCTTGGTTCATTTCAAGGAAATTACACACAAGGAGTTAAAGGTAAAACACATGCTAATTCTTGCCCTGTTAAGCTTTTTTGATATCAGATTGAAGAAAAGAAACATTAATGTGCATCACATAGTTCACAAGTCATGTATTCAAGGAAAATATAAGATTTTATGAGATATCAGAACAAATTTTGCTTAGTTGTATTAATTAGCATATCAGAAATCAGAGTAATCGATGGTTGACTGATTGTTTAAAACTAGCAAATTTTGACTTTAAGCATTAACATATGTTTAATAGAGCTTCTTTTCGTATGTGTTATGTATTGTATAATTTTTATAACAAATTACTGTAAACACTGTCAGTTCGTTTTTTAGTCCTCTTAAATCTCAGAAGACAAGTATATTCTCACATTAATTTAATGTATAAAGTATTTAATGATTTAAATTAACATGCATATGTAGCTAAATGGAAAAAAAAAAGTTATAATTCTCATATCAATTTAATTTTTATTAATTTAGTTCCTCACATATATACATATTCTGTAGTCGTTGGCATTATGTTTCATAGAGAACTGTGTTGGATCCAAACTTATGGGTTCATTTATCCATGATCTACACTTGGAGCTTTCGATGAAAACCGAGTGCTCATCACTCCGAGGCTTATTTTGGCCTTTTATTTTACTTTGAAATGATCTCTTCTATTCATTTAAATTAATTTTTAGGCGTTTTTATCATTTTATTTATTAAAATAAAAATTATAAAAATATAATATTAAAAATATCTAAAAATTAATTTAAGTGAATTGAAGAAATCATTAAAGTGAAATGAAAAGCCAAGATGAGCCCATAAGTGATGAGTACAAGATGCCGACTCCATTTATCCTTAAATCTTAATCATATTAATTAGATGAGATTTAACTAATTGTCAATGCCAGCAAAAGAGTCCCCACTATAGTTAATAATGCCTTGTTTGAAATGCATCCTTGTTCTTTCAAGGAAGTTACACCAAGGATTTAAACTCAAAAAACAATTCTTGCATTACGAAACTCATTGTATATATAGGTTGAAGAAAGAAGACATTGGGCATCATCATATGTCTTATATGTCATATGTTCAAGAAAAATAGTTCTTTTGATATTAAATATAGGAGCTAGTTAATTAATTCACACGAGTTCAGGAAATTAGGTTAAGTTTGTTATTTGTAAAAAAAAAATGTGATAATTTTTCTAAAATATCCCTTCTTTTCACCATTTATCTTGGAGTATTATTAAAATAACATATATATTACACAAATATCATAGTCTGCTCCAATACCCTTGACTAGGTCTGTGTTCCCCAGATGGAGTTGAAGCAATAAAAGAGCAAATTCCAAATACTTCTAGAAGATTACATAGAAGAAGTAGCAGCGGCAATTTACAAAGCACTTTTGTTCTTCAACACTTCCCACAGCTGATCTTACCAAACTCAAAGCTTAGAAATGGCAGATGATTAGAGCTAAGCAACAAGAGCTGTGAAGATTGTTGGAATCCATAAATGTAACGTGTGTCAGTCAGTCATGCGTAGTTGGAAAGAGACTACCACGAACCCTCGACTTATTTCCCTTCGATTCGAAATAAATTAATTTGTAAACTCAACTTGTTTAACTCCAAAAAAAAAAAAAATCAGCTTGTTCTGAATGTTTCTAATCTTATGAGTCCACATCATTTTATCAACTTGTTTAAGCTCAGCATTGATTTTTGGCATGACTACATTTCTTTAGGATTTATGAACAGAGCTAAAACTCTTAACAAAAAGAAGGAGTCACATAGACTATTGTAATTAGTTTAATTTCATTTAACACTTTAATGCAATACTATTGAGAATAACTTCACAGCCATACATCAGTTAATCAGTAATCTGTTTCTCATGGCATTGTTCTCGGACATTTATCAATATTTAAGAAACAAAGTCACATAACAAGATGAAAGGACTATGGAGTACCTTTGCTCATAAAAGACCAATTCAACAATTTCAATATTCCCTTGTGCCATTAGTTTTTGGTAGTAGTTCCATTTGTTGCCACGTTGGTTAACAAGCTTGGTAGTTTTGTTCTAGATTCAAATCCAACTATGGATAATGATGAAACAGATGATGCAAAAAGGAGAAGTAGATGCAAGACAAAGTAAGCTTCAGGCGTTTAGTGTCAGTTATAAACAGATCAGAAGGTTTCCCAACTTCCACTAAAGAAACATATCAAAGAAAGAAGAGAAAATTTTGCAGTCAATTGATCATTCATTTGATTCATATCACGTATAAACTAATCTCAGATAGAATCAATGCTCTGTGTTTGTCACTTCAATCAGACCAACTAAAGTCTAGTTGTACCTATAAGGCTGCAACCATCAATACTTCAAGGCCAATTAATTTATCACTTCACACATTTATGCAAAGCCAGTGCAATGGCATAGAAGAAAATCAACAAAAATTACAATTATTGTGCCTAGAAATTTACAGAGACAATTCAAGAAAAAATGGAAAGTCAGTAACAACAGTATTAGGAATATAACCATCACACTATAGAAGAAAAATATCAGAAGGGAAAAGTATAGAATATTCAGGGAGAAGCTGCCATGACCATAAAGATTCCTCAGAAATTGCTCAACCTCCTCTGTACTCTGCTCTGTAACTTTTTAACCAACATTTTCTTTCACCTTCCAAGTTCTTGCCACACGATGGCTCCTCCTCAGAACTGGTGCCAGCTCATCACTGTTACTCTCTAGAGGTAGGATACAACTCCCTTAACCTCTAATGAAAAGTGATGTCCTTTATATAGATTTCAGGATGATTCAGCAATTAAGTGATTAACAATAATCACTCTAACTAATCCAGCAAAAAGTTCAAACATTTTTTCTTTATCACTATTCCTACTACGTATGATGGACTCATCAGACACCACAGATGTAGTTGGAAATTTGGTGGGTACTTCCTGATAAACTCCAACTCCACTATCATCGCCAAAGCCTTCCTTCGATCCCAGGACTTCCTTTTGTTTTGCAAATTCAACAACCCTGATATCTATCAAACAAAGCAACGGAGAATCTTACAAAATATTTAGTTATTTATTCTATATGCATGTTGGTGAACTATTTCTTTTTTAATTTAGTCTAAATTCATATCATTATCAAGTAATTCCCTATCTGATTGTTATTGTACTTTTTGCCAGAAGTCGTAGTAATCAAGGTATGTTACTTTTAGTATAGAAAGGAAGAGGAAAAGTACCTTTGTAATGCATGACAGCTTCAAGTCCTTCCCAATCTTTGGTTGGGGGTCGTAGCTTTTGCCATGAATTGTTGTCAAGGAATGTTTTGGGATCCCTGAATCGGATATCATCTAAGTTGCTTTGTTGCCGATATACATGAACTGCAATATGAGTTTCCTTTTCCTCTTTCATTTCTTGTGCACTGCTCTTGATGGAAACCTTAACTTGATTCCATTTATTTACACGAGGGAGTTCAGCCTTTTGAAGTATGCTTTGTAGCTCAAATATGTATATATGATTAGCCTTTATTGATGACAGTAAAAGCCACTCCGAAGAATTAATTTCTAGCTTGATGTCATTAATGTGCACTGAGAACATACACTTGTATGGAGAATCTTGGTCATTTTCAACAAGAAACCAAATAAAAATTGTTGGGAATTCATTACGAATCCAAAAGGACATGGAGCCTCCTCGACTATAATAGTCAAGCCACTCGGGGATTCTCTTTCCTGGAAAAATAAAGTTTCTTTTCCCTGGTTCAAAATAGAATGCCTGCACATTACATATTACCAAACAATTACAAATAAAATATAATTAAATACCAAAAAGATAATTAAGAAAAGACTGGGGGGAGAGAGACCTGATTCAATACTCTGCTCTTGGATAACTTGGAGAATGAAGTACAACCTATGGCACTGAATTGTTCCAAGTTTGGTGGCATCCTCTCAATATGTTGAAGTTGCATACAATAATCCAGCAAAAGATTTTTTAAATGCCTACATTCTTTGATGCATGCTGGTAGGGTTGTAAAATTATTAAACCTTAGATCTAAACATACAATGCCAGGGATGTAAGATAGACAAAGAGAAAGAGAATCATCTGACAAATCGCATTTTGAGAAACAGAATTGCTTCAATTTCAAAGATATTGATGAGCTTTCTAAGCTTCCTTCTTTTCCACCTCTGCACATCTCAAAATGCCTCATCCCTTCACAAAAATTTGCTGTTACTTCTGAAAGGTTTGGCAACATACAAATACTAGCCGGTAATTGCACAAGATTAGGGCATGCATCCATGTTTAAGCTTTCAAGCCCAATGAGATTGTGAATTGAAAATGGCAATCTTGGGATGGATGTTCCCTCCAAATCAAGTGTTCTTAACTTCTCCATCTTTTCTGATATATCTGGAAAACTTTGAAGACTTGAACAACCATAGAGACTTAAATGTTCCAAGGATCTCAACTTAATAGTAGCAGGAAATTTTTTCAAATTTTTGCATCGCATGGCACTCAATTCTTTAAGATTATCCAAGGATCCAACTGAATCATCAATTTCAATTAAACTTGTACAACCATCAAGCCGCAATTCTTTTAAATTAGAAGCTCCTGTCAAGTTTGGTATCTGACTTAGGAATTTGCACTTGCTAAAATTCATGTGACTTAAACTCTCAAATTTCTGCAAAATAAAATATAAAAAAAAAATCAAACAAATGAAATAAAGTACATAGTTCTAAGAATACTTATAAACATACCTTAATAAATGGTTGGAGGTTTGCAAAACAACTATTGGACAAGTCTAATTGGACAAGTTGAGTTGGACAAAAATTAGAAGGCAAGAGCTCTAAAGGATACCCCTTCCATTCTAGCAAACATAAACTATTTGGGAGATATTTGGGGACTTCAGAAAAACTTGCACATTTTATGGCAAGAAATTTGAGGTTCTTCATCCTTCTGAATTCCTCTCCACTCCATTGAATTTCTTCACCTTTAGGCAAATCAAGAATCATGACTTCAATTTCTTTGGATCCCTTTTAAAATGAAAAACACATAATAAATGATGGATATTAGATACAAAAGTCATATAAAGATAAGCATTAAATGAAGAGTGATGTATGTTGTGCTCTTACTGTGTCATTTTGCAACACGTGAATAATGTCCTCATAAGACCATAACCTGCTGCGATTACCAGGTTCTCTTGGTGATTGTCGCCGAACAATTTCTTTACCCATATCTTCTATCAAGTCGTGCATTGTCACACGATCTTTTTTAATCTTTATTAGAGATCTATCAGTCAACACTTCAATAGCATAAGTTGGTTCGACACCACGTATAATCTTCAACACATTTTTGACATCTTCTAATTTCTCTCCATTAAAGAAACAAGCCATGTCAAGAAAAAATTCTTGATGTGTTTCTTCCAAAGCATCATAACTTAATTTAAGGACTTCAAAAACTTCTGTAGCAGGTATTCTTTCATACTCATCTAGTGCAGAACTCCATTTATCAACTATTTTATCACATAAGTTAGAGCCAATCACTTCCAAGGCCAATGGAAGGCCACATGAATAATTAATTGCACGATTTAAAACATCTATGTAATCTGAATTCATAATGACCTTTTTGAAAGCATTCCATTTAATCAACTGAAGAGACTCCTTATAACTTAATTTCTTGACAGCATAAATTTTATGAACCCCATGACTTGCTAGGAGCTGTTTGTCCCTTGTTGTAATGATGATTCTACTTCCAGAGCCAAACCAGTCACATCTTCCAGCAAGTGCTTTTAACTGCTTCAATTTATCAACATCATCAAGGATTAAAAGAATCTTCTTTTGTTGAAGCCTATGTTCCATTATTGAAATTCCTTTATGGAAATCACCCAACTTGAGTTCCTTCTCCTTCACCAATTCATAAAGTATTGTCTCTTGGAGATTGGACAAGTCATGCTTGTTAGAATTTTCTCTAATATTAGAAAGAAAACATAAACCATCAAAATGATCAGCAATTGAGTTATACACAGCTCTTGCAAGTGTTGATTTACCAATCCCACCAGTGCCACAGATTCCAATCATGTTGACTTCATTGGACCAAAGATCTAAAAGTGAGATTACTTCTTCTATTCGAGACACAAGTCCAACTGGATAGTTGGTAACATCCAAATGAGTGCGATTAATCTTGTTAGATACTTCACAAGTAACCATTTCAATATACGCTTGATCTTTTGCAACCCTGCCCATAAAAAAGTTATCCTTTATTCATACAAAAATATTGATATGCAAATTATATATATATGGAATCATGGAATGGGAAAGAGTATAAAATGAGAAGTAAAATTCAATAGCCATGGCTTCGCTCAGCCAAAATTACAAAGTTCTACCTTCTATTTTAAAAACATACACTTTAATCCAAAAAACTTGATTTCTTATTTGTAATTATGTTGAAAATTTTAAAATTATTAATTTATAAGTTAATTGTCTACCCTTTCTCCTGATTTAAAGAATTTAAATAAATATGTCAGTATCTAATTTTTTTTACCAAAGCAATATCTAAATAAATAATTTAATAATATTCTGGAAAAATTAATAAAATTTATTAAAAAAACAAACATAAATTATATTGACTATATTATATTTTAGGGGTAAATGAAAAGCTTACATCTAAATTTTAGATCCAAGAGCGTCCAGGTCTTTAGATTCATTTTTTGTGCAATATTTTCCTTTCACTTTGGAAAATAATGCAATATTGCCCCCACTGATAACAAACATTAATTTTGATCATTAATTGAAGAAAAAATTATAGAAAATGACTTTAAAAATTACCAAAAAAAAAAAGAAAAGACCTTAAGTATATAAGTTTTTTTTCAATAAGTAATACAAATATTAATTTTAAAGTATAAATATATATTTTAAAATTTATATTTAATTAATCTAAAGATATAAAATATCACAATTTTTCAGGGGTTAAAATAAATACAGGATAAAACAGGTAGCTGAATCTTGTTTTTCAAGACTTGAAATTGCTGGGCTCAAAAGCCCTGTTATACTAAAACACCTCAATTTTCAAAGTCCAAGCCGAAAAAAAAAAAAAATGGACATAAATGGGTAACCCGGCTGATAGGTCAGGACCATACTGCTGACTTCAAAAGCACATTCCTGATCCCTTATATGATGCGCCTCCAAAAAATAAAAGTGAATCCAAATTATAAAGTGGCTAGTCAAAATATCAAGTCATGTTCTATTTTTACCCCAATAGTTTTAACAGCTCTCTCACAACTTTAGACAAGGCTAGGAGGTTGTACAAGTAACAAATGTTCTATATCCCTTTAATTAATAAGAATATAACGAGTTTTCTTGATCCGTGCGGGTGATTAGATGGAGTAAGTATCATATTTTTTTAAGGAAAAAGAAAAAAGAGAAATTACAAGCAAATTATAGAAGATGAGATACCGGGGTTGGAGATGCCAGCCAGTCAAGTCAGCTACTTGAGACAAAGCCTCCTTCCATTTCTGCAACTTGTCATCAATACTGTCTCCCAATCTTTCCTTCAAACGAGCCAAATCTTTTCCATAAGTCCCTTTCTGATGTCTCACCACAGATGGATCCACATGATAAAACACCGGATATACCAACCGACCTCCTTCTTTGAAGCACTCAACAATCTCTGCAAGGTCATCCAGACAGAATGTTGACGACGCGTATTTTTTGGAGAGAAATATGATGGCTATCCTCGATCCTTTGATGGCTTTCAGCAGAAATGGTCGGATTTCTTCACCTGCATGGAGGGCTTTGTTATCAAAGAAGGTACTAATTCTCTTTGACGCAGAGACTCATAGAGATGGCCTACGAAAGTGAGGCGAGTATCTTCACCGCGAAAACCAAGAAATACGTCATAAGTCCCTAAGTGACAGAGGAGGATCCTGATCCTTGAGCCATGATACAATGATGGCCTGCGTCGCTGATCTTACCAAGCTCAGAGCTTAGAAATGGCAGATGATTAGAGCTAAGCAACAAGATCTGTGAAGATTGCAAGATCGACTTGCATGTTTAAATTAATCCTCTGTAATTTTTTTCCCAATATTTCTGCTTTAAAAAAGAAAAAAAAAAAGAAAAGAAAAGAAAGTGAAGGCAGCCCCACCAAGGAGGAATTTAAAATTTTCACGCGCACTTGGAAGACATGCTGTCATTGACTAAAAAGAAAGACTTTCAATTTTTGTCGGTTTTTCAGGAAATTAATGAATCGTGATGAGTTTTTTTCTTTGTTTCAAAAGAAAAACTTTGTATGAGTTGGGTGTTGATGCTGGGGGACCACCAAAGTTGGGATATGTTTAGGGGCTCAAATATAATAAAATTCTTGCTGACAAATCGAGGTTAGAATTTTAATGGGAAGAAGTATCAAAATTTAATCTCTAACTATACTTTTTGATTGTCTCAAATTGAAGGATATTTATAAAAACTAAAAAAAAATTATATATTTAAAATATTTTTATTTGATAGTGTACAAAATATTAAAGGTAAAAAAAAAAAGGAGCTAAAATTCGAAAGCCAAATTAGAAGATTTGAAATAATAAACTTATTTGTATCCCTCAATTAATAAGAGATGAGAATAATAAAGACAATGATAATAAAAAAGTAAAGAAAAGGAGAGGCTTGGAATAGTGTGTGTATAGCGTCCTAGCTGGGAGCCCATTGATTCGTAATCGTATTATTATTATTATATTTTTTTTTTTGAGCAAACATTGATTCATAATCATGTTAGGTCATTATTAATGCTAACAAGAGTCCCCACACACCCTTGAAGCTAATGCCGTGTCTGGAACACATCCTTGGTTTATTTCAAGAAAATTACACACAAGGAGTTAAAGGTAAAACACATGCTACTTCTTGACCTGTTAAGCTATTTTGATATCAGATTGAAGAAAAGAGACATTGTGCATCCTCTAGTTAGCAAGTCATGCATTCTAGGAAAAATAGAAGATTTTACAAGATATGAGAACAAATTTTGCTTAGTTGTATTAGCACATCAGAAATCAGAATCATAAATGGTTTACTGGTTGTTTAAAACTAGCAAATTTTGCTCAGATGTAGCAACCTCGACAGTAAACTTGAGCATTAACATATGTTTAATAGAGCTCTTTTTAGTATGTTTAACATAATTTTTTTAATCACTAATTAGTATGGACACTGTCAATTGGTTTTAGGTCAAGATTATATGGGGAGATAAATTTTGTTTATTTTTATTTTTATCAATTTGATCCCTTGCATTTTCTTATATTATTATGTTAGCCTTTTAAATTTCAAAATATTATTAAATTTACTCTCAAATTAATCTAATTTATAAAATATTTTAATGACCTAGAATGCATATATAATTAAATCAGAACAAATTTTTTTTAAAGCAAAATAAATTAACTCTTAAATCAGTTTACACTGCATTTAAAAATTTATGATGCTGTTTTTTAGTTAAATAATTAAGCTTCTTTTCATTAATTACATACAGATACACGTATCTGTAGGCAATCTATTTCATGGAGAAGCATGTTGTCTCCAAACTCATGGATTCATTGATGACTTAGGTCACATTTGATTGTTAGAAAGAAATGGAATGGATTGAAAAAATAAAGGTAAAAATGAGATAATCAAATGAAATAGTGAACCACATTCATAAATGAAGGGGGTAATTCAGTTCATGGGATTGGAAATCATGATTCATAAGATTTTTAGAGGGTGTAATGATTCTCACATTTGTAGTATATATCAATAAGTTTTATCATGCTTACAATGAGGAAAAGAGATGATTTAGTTTATTTTTGTATTAATTTTTTCAATCAATTTCATTTCATTCCATTTTAATAACCAAACGGGACCTTAGTTTGGATGGAAAGAAAAAAAAAAGATTAAGAAGGGGAGAAAACTAAAGGAAAAACAAGTCCAAAAATAATTTTTTTTTTACTATTTTTAAAAGTTTTCTTTCTTAATTTTCCTTCATTCAGATTTTTCTCTCCTTTAAAATCAAGTATAAATATTAATCATGTTAGGTAAGATGTAACTCATTAATACTAGCAAGAGTCCCCATTATTGAAGATAATATCTTGTTTGAAACACATTCTGTTTTTTTTTTTTCCTCAAGGAAATTACACACCTGAGGAATTAAGGTCCCAAAATAATTCTTGCACTGCAAGACTCATTGTAAATTATATTGAAGAAGTAAAAAAAGACATTGGGCATCATGTGTCTCATGTCATTTATTCAAATGAAAATAGTTCTTCAGATGTTAACTAATTGACACGAGTTAAGGGAAATTACATTAGTTTAAATAAGACAATATTAAATTTTTTATTACATGTATTATTTTGTGGTGGTAATAACTAATTTTGTTACAAGCTCAGCAGCCATAGTTTCTGGTATGCTTATCAGAGGAGATCTGCAGAAGAAATCAAGGAAGGTTTTTTGGAAACGAGAGCACAGAGAAGAGTGAAGTGTTGAATAATGATAGAGCTTCTTTTCTTATGGAAATAATCTCAGCCGCGTGAATGGATAACAAAGTTGGAAAGTTTTTTGGAACGAGAGCGCAGAAGAGTGCAGTGTTGAATAATGATTGAGCTTCTGTTCTTTCCTTCATCGAAATAACCTCAAAGCCGCGTGAATGGATAATAAAGTTTGAAGCCGGCAAATTGACTTCCATGCTATAAAAAAAAAAAATTTATTTCTCACAATACTATACTTTCAATAATATTTATTTAAATAATATAAATTTAAAATTTGGCCTGATCAGTACCGAGTTTTAAATTTTTTTTTTGATCAAAAACGTGTATTTACTTTCAATAATATTTACTTAAATAGAAGCCAAGTTCTATTTAACATAAAAAAAAATATCTATCCTATCATCTCTCTTCAACCAATTTTTTTTTTTGTCAGATATAGAACTTGGCTTCTATCAAGCCAAGTTCTATTTAATTTTAAAAAAATCAAATATATATGTCATCCCTTCTCTCTTTAGCTAAGTTCTAATCAATTATCTGGGCAAAATTTAAATCATACAATTATTATTCCAACATCATTAACTCCATTAAAGACTAAATAATCAATTGAAGTCTCTAAAAACTCAAACTATATCAAATCTTAGGTTTTCTATCATCAAGAAATCAAAAACCAAATAAAGTATGTGATTAAGAAAAATATTTAAAACACTTATATAGTCCGAAAAAGCTTGAGATCATACTCAAGGTATCTATTATATAGCCTCATCTTTAAAATTTTGCTCACTCTTTATCTTAGTTTCTCACTGTGCACCGAGCGAGAGGAAGACAAAAAGAAAGAAAGAGGAAGTGATGCGCGCAGAAAAAGAAATGAGATTGAAAATAATAAAATAAGTTAGTTGGCCCTACATTTTGGTATCTATTCTCTCTTTCCTCTTTGTTTTTTTATTTTAAATCTTCTTCCTTCTTTTCTTTTCAAAAATTAATAATCTATAAACCCTCCTCCCCACACATATTATGTAATTTTTATAGTACTTTCTTAATATCTTAAAAATTAAACTCTACTAGTATATTTTGATAAACACAATTTCTTTAATATTTATATGATTATAAATTTTTTATTTAGATTTGAGGAGTAAAAATAGAGATGTTATAATAACTTAGTATCATTCATAATATCCTGATTGACAATTTTAGAGATCCATGATAATTTAATATCACTCATGGTATAACCTAAAATATGTTAGCAATTTTATTATTTTTACTTATAATGACTTAGTATCACTCAAAACATCTCATTTAATGATTTTAGAGATTCATGGTGATTTATTCGGTTAATCCAAGCGTCTAATGTTATATTAGACATTAACATTTTAATTTCAATTGATTAGGGACTTCAATTGATTATTTAGTCTTTAATGGAGTTAATGATGTTGGAATAATGATTGTATGATTTAGATTTTGCCCAAATAATTGATTAGAACTTGACTAAAGAGAGAGGGGATGAGATATATATTTGATTTTTTTAAAATTAAATAGAACTTAGCTTGATAGAAGCCAAGTTCTATATCTGACAAAAAAAAAATTGGCTAAAGAGAGAGATGATGGGACAGATATCTTTTTTTTATGTTAAATAGAACTTGGCTTGATAGAAGCCAAGTTCTATATACGTTTTTGACCAAAAAAAATTTGAAACTCGGTACTGATCAGGCCAAATTTTAAATTTGTAGTACCTAGGTAAATATTATTGAAAGTGTAGTATTGTGGAAAATATTTTTTTTTATGGCATGAAAGTCAATTTGCCATAGAGCTTCTTTCTCTCCGTGGATATTAAATTTCTTATACTAAGTATACTTAAAAATAATATACTCTATCAAAATAATTTAAGTCAATTAGTTGATACTTTCTAAACTTATTTATTTATAATATATCTTTAAATATTTAGATATGTTACTTCTTATGTTATAATATTTCTTCTAATATATTTTTTTCATTTCTTCTTTTTCTTCTTGCCTAGGCTTGTATTTTTTTTTTAGTCTCAGAGGTTTTAAGTCTATTTAATTTCTTCTTCTTTTTCTTCTTATTCTCTCTTTCTTTTTTTAATCTCTTGTTTTATTTCATCTTTCATTCTTTCATTTTTTTTCCATCTCTCTCTCTTTGTTTTTTTTTTTTGTCTTTAATTGAATGGCTCATGATACTATTTTAAATTTCTTATATTAAGTATGTTTAAAGATAATATACTTTATTAAAATAGTTTAAATCATTTGATTAGATATTTTTTAAATTTATATATTTATGATATATGTTCATATCTTTATATGCGGGATTTCTTTTATATTACAATAATGGAAATTATCTCAAAGCCGCGTAAGGGGATAATAAAGTTGGAAGATTCAATTTAATTGGTTTGGTAGATTTTCTTGTCAGCCAATGCCTGAAGCGAAGGGCAATAATGTAGGTTGCTTTGATTCCTTTACTTACTTTGCAAGTAGTCGGAGTAGGGACACTGTGACCGTTTGGCTGTTCCATTCTAAATCTTTT